GGTCTAGGAGCCGTCTTCCTAGACATGTCTAAGGCGTTTGACAAAGTTTGGCACCAGGCCCTGATAGCCAAGATGATCACAGCAGGCTTTCCGGGGTACCAAACTAAGCTCATCAGCAGTTACCTATCTGGACGCAGCTTCTAGGTTAAAATCGAGAATAGTTGAATAGTTAGTTTCTGCAGGATTTAAAGTCCGAGATGCCTAACATACTGGGTGTTTATTTTGTGATAGTATTCCGGAAAAGTCGGGGTGTGCCAGAACCAGTTCTGAAATGAGGAGATTTTCGCACGTATTGAACCATTCTATGAATTCCGTGGTGAGGATTACCTTTTGATTTTTTTTTTTAAGATTGGGTCAATGGCTTAGTAATCTGATCAAAGTTTCTAATGAATTTTCGATAGTACCCTAATAGTCCCAAAAATGTCTTGATGTTCTGTTCAGTTTTAGGTATATGGTATTTTTGAATGGCCTCATTTCTTTGCGAATTAGGTTTAATTCCGTGTGGCATTATCAGATGGCCTTCTAGTACATTTACTGGCATGCTTTTGATAATTCGCTCGCGTGGGTTTAAACAAAATGAAAAACTGTGGTAAACGGGTGACCTATATTTAAAGGGAATATCAACATTACTTCCGACGAGTTTCTGATTTACTAGATTTATGTTTAGTTTCATGTTCATTAAGTCCGCTAAACCTAACACGCCGTCGAAGAAATCGTGGAAATCGAAAAGTATAAAGTGAATCATGCATTCTGTTTGAAATTCCCGGATAGCGGGTATTGCGGCCTCGAACCTATTTGTTTTGCTGCCTGTTGCTGTTTTAATAATATGAGGTAGATACGATTGGAAAAATAATCTGTAATAGGCGGCTTTACGATGGATCTTGAACTACCTGGATCTTTTAGCAGCTTTAATTTGGGATGACTGATTTGCACATAAGGGAGGGCGCTGCTACAATAAACGTTTCTTTGGACTAAGGTAAAATTTCTTCCGGGCCTGTTTCGGTAAAATTTTTGAGTATCTCCAATTTCATCATTATCTTGAATTTCCTCGCTTTGACAACCGTAATTGGTCTGTTCGGCTGACGTATCAAAATGTTGATGGTCGTAGGTATCATAATGGCTTCGCGCATGATAAGAGTAATAACTCGGATAATTAGAATTATCAGTAATTAATTCTTCGATAGTGGGATTTTCGGTCAACCAATGGTGGCAAAATAAAACACTACTTTTTCATGGGCCAACGTTTCGACTTTATTCAAGTCACCCTCAGGGCCCTAAAATGGAAAACAGAGTGGTTTTAGCCCAGAGCCTGGTGAAGTTTTAACACTTAGTGTGTGACATTGTTGTACGATACAAAATTAAAAAAGAAAATTAAAACTCGACTTCACAACAGATTAAAAATAAGTCACGACCATCAGACTATTAAATTAACATTGGTTTAAACACAAGTCAATCATGATAAGTCCCATCTCAAAAAATTTTAAAATTACATAAAATAAAAACGATCAGAAAAACACGCTCAAAACAAAGATCTCATGTCAATAAGATTCAAATTAAATAAGATTAAAAAGCAGTGAACAAAGGACGCCACTAAATGAAATTTTCGCTTCTATAGGGCCTGGCTCTTGTTAATTCGTGAACTAAGCAATCAAAATTCCTTCGATCAGAAAAGCACTGCAAAAGAGCTTGTTTCAATTTTTGCCAATTGTCTAATTAGGATCTATTACCAACCATGCTTTACGCGCGGCCGGTTAGTTTTTCCTGGATATATTAAAAAATATGCTGATCTAAATCAGAATCCTTAAGGTTGTTTTTTTTTCTATGATTCTGTTAAATTTGTCGTCTTACAAAGCGACTAGTCAAAATTCAAACTATTTCAAAATTAATTCTTACTGAGAGAATTCTACTAAAGCTAATAATATTTTGAAGACATTTTCGGAATTTTTGTTTTCAATATTTTTCTCGTACTTTCCGAGTAAGCTCCTATAACCCAAGGACGTCAATTTTGAATCACCTTCTATAATAACTTCCAGGTTAGACACTCATAATTCACTACTTCCATAATTTGCTATTTGATTATGAATGACTATTAAATCATGTCGTGATAACTAATTTTACGTTTGTAAATATGCACTAATGATGAGTCCTCGAGTCCATTATGTCTAAACAGATGTTAAGTTACGAATTGATGAACGACCTTCCTCTTTCTATTATTGGTTACTTTCCTTGACCAAAGCATCTCCAAGCTTATGACTATTACGGCTATGAGAAATCCTAAAACAAAAATATTTAGTGTACATAGTAGACGCCTTGCCAATAATTTTATGCCAAATGCCTCATTTTGCATAAATCAAAGCATATCATTAAATTATACAACCATCGGTTACCTATGAATAATACAAAAAAGCTTCCCTGCATATCATCAAGATTGACTGTGTGGTTGTTGACTTCAATGGTGCGTTTCTTTTTCCAACATTTATCTTTTTTGGGCAAATAATCGGATAGCCATTTTTGGATTAATCCCACTTGATGTAATTTTTTGATCCTGAAATGAATATATGTTTCTCTGTTCTGCATTTAGCCACGGTTACTACAGTTTTCAATAATTATTAAGCAGCAAGTATTTACGTAATGTTAATGAGGCAGATTACCTTACGATATAGTTTTTTGGAAATATCTCAGTTTTTAATAGGAATTAAGGTTTGTACTATTTTACATCTACGGGTGAAAACACATTACAAAACATCCCCAGACAATACTCCTGGAGGAATTACACCAATTCTGAATCACTCTGTTTAAATTTACGATTAACCAGTCAATTTGCACTTACTCTTCGTTGATCTTATGAAGATAAGGGGTATCGGGAGCAACAATAAGGGCAATTTGTTCTTCGCAAAATTCTTCAACTCCTGCGGAAAATAATATTTGAAGTAAATACACAAACTCATTTATTTGTTACATTTTACCCAAGGCAAAGCTGCATTCGCCGCTATCTATAAAATGTTCTTTGATCATATATTGAAGCTTAATTTTCCAATCGATGTATACATGTTTCCCAGATTTAATTTCTCCCATCATAGCTTTTCTGTCCCATATGTTTTTGGCATCTTTAAAAATTATATTGAAGCTTTTGTCAACTGAATTCTGAAACAATTTTTATATCAGGTTTTTCCGAATAATCGATTTTGACAGTTAATTTTGATACTTGTTGACTATTTAAAATGCGCTGACAAATTTGCAAAAATTGGTTTGGCAGTTTTCTCAGTCATAAGTGACAAAGGGAGAAATAAAGAACCCTATTTCCTCTTTACGTGTGGGTCTGTGGATTTGTCAAGTGACACATTTATATCTGACGTTAAAATTGCTACGACAAGTCTGATTACTGAATTTTTGTACAGTATTTTTAGCTATTCACAGCCTAAAACCTATTATAGTCTTTATGAAGTTAAAGAGATTATCATCTTAACGGGGAATAGGTACAGAATAGTGGTACGAGATTTGATTACTTTGGAACTACCGGGTCGAAAGTGTAGGTCTCGTATAATTGTGGATAATGCGTTACACAAAGCATACGCGAGAGGTCGCCTATGCTCCCAGAGGGAAAGAGTAGATAAACAGGCCATTTTAAGTAACTTTTTAATTGATTCTCTATTCTACTGTCTATTGTTATCGTAGATTTTGTACGCGGTCATTTACAACCCCCACGGTTGTTAATACTGGCAGTTTCTAAATAAATTAACTTTTTTAAACAATTCTTGAAATCAAGTCATTTAACTCTGTGGCGCAAGATGCCACACATCCATAAATAAGTGTTGGTACAGTAGTACAGTGCGACAATTATCAATTTTAATAAACGTCTTTTTGCAAATATGCCTTGTAAAATAAATTTACAATTATCACATTTCAAGATTACTATGCGGCACCGGACAAAACTGTTTTTACTGTTTAGGATCGAGCGACTTTGAAAATCACACTCGGCTGTCGGTATCCATCCATATCGGTACTGATTACCAGTAACTTCTAGTTACTAGTTAAAGTGCGGTTTTGCTTGTGCGATCGGCAAGTGCAACTAGGTGCTGCTTTTGGCAGCAGCCGCAGTCACAGTTTCAGGTTTGGTTTGTGTGATGCGTCCATAGGCGCAACAGGTCAGTTTAAGAGATTGGTTCGTGAGGTATCTTTGTTCAAAAGATAGACGATGTCGAACTTTTAAGCCTAATTTTGTTACAACAAGAACAAAAAATGAGACGCATGCTATATTTCCAAGTCTTCCAGAAGAACGCTACTTCAAGCTTCTTGTGAATTACTGTTTACTGTAACTAGATGGGAATATGTTTAGATAGTTATTTCGAATATATCGTGATTTTGTTCTGTCACTTTAGCAAATGAAATGTTTTCCATAATTTCACGACTACGAGGGACGAGTGACATTCGCAAGTAAAACATGCTAGAGTGGTAAATTATCTAGCTCATTTTGGACATTTTTAATTAAGTTTTTATCCCCATTCGTTAAAAAGCCATTTTCACAAAACTCGCAATTGCGACTGCGATTTGACTGGTCCAGTTCCTAGTCAGAACACAGAACCGAAACCGTTTATGTGCAAAGAACATTAAACGAGTAATCTGCGACTAGCCTTGAGTCGTTAGTCGCAGTTGCATTACCGAAACCGTACCTTCACTAGTTAGTAGCGAGTACCCAGCTGTGGGTATCCTGTTACATTACATTAGTTACTAGTTAGCCTGAGCGAGAACAAGTAGTAGCGTATTCGGATTCGGACTCAAAGGTTGAGACATTTTGTCTATCCGACCGACTGCTCTATTTACGTGTGGACCAATACAAAAAAACTTTTTTAAAAATGATGTTTATTAGATGCAGAATACAAATGAACTGTTTTCTTATTGTTTTTTTTTATCTTAATTGTAAGTTCGGTACATAATCTTATCTTTGCTTAGTGGCAACATCTCATTTATGCTTATAGTTTAGGTTACATGAATGTAACTCTTACTAATTTTTTTGGTAATGTTTATTATTATTTAATAACAGCTGGATGGACAACAATGGACTTATGGCAATCAACTATGGGGATGCGCCAAGAAATCGAATGGGCAGTTAATCCAAAGATATCAGAATAATTAGTATAGGCAATAAGTACTAAGGCATCTAACTACTACGCCTTGGGACTCACGGAATTGTGACTTACATCGTGAACTCAACGTCGAAACAATTCAACAGACAAAAGATCAATTATTCAAAGATTTGCTGTCTCACACGAAAATCGCGACCAGCATCACATCAACGACGAAGCGGCCAGGCTTCTCGATGTGGAAAAGTTAACGAGGCAACTTAATCTTGCCAAACCATTCGAACTTACTACAACAACAACGCGCCTTGTAACTAATTCTACCGAACGACAGCCTAAAAACCCGAAAAACTCATTAGTTTCAAGGCACGGCCTCGAAAGTCTCTCTCTTTTGATCCGTAAGCATTTAATAAATATGTATTCAACCAAAGCGTGTAATAACCGGCAGTTGAATCCTGAAGCTGAAACCCATGAATTCTAAGTAAAAATTGTTTTAAAAACTCCCTTTCAAAGGAAATGAATTTAACCCTTCGACAATTTTTCGATAAAAAGTCAAAACGGCAATAATTTTTTTTCATCATCAACAGATAGTTACGGGAGTTACATACTGCATGGGAACCCCTGACACAGCAGCCATCATCCGCTGGAAGTCATCAAGGTCCAACAGTTCACACCTGAACGTGAGAACTGCTGACAAAAGACTCTACCTAGTTTATTACCCGAATACGAGAAGCTGCTCGAGAATAGTGCACAATATGGCGCTTACGCAGGCATTTACTTCCATGGAGTTAAAAACAGGAAATGTATATTTATTTGTACACATCAATTCGAGGTTATAATAGCAATTCCAAAATTAATAACAGTCAGGAAAGTACGTATAATAGCAATAAAGAACAATTTCTCAATGATAATATTGACGTTTCGGAAAAGTAACGAGTACGTGCAGTAGTGAAAGTACATTTAACAAATCCTGTTGAACTTACCGTTTATCATAATTTTTTGTATTGTCACTTCCTGTATTTTCCATTGTTACCGGAGTTTTAAATAATTACGAAGGAACAGATATTTGCGTAAAATTAATTTTGCAGTTTATCTTGAAAAACATTGTTGCCTTCTTTCTGATGCTGTTTTTGTACATTTTATTAACAATAATTTTAAACTTTTTTTTCACTCCTAAAACACCCCCAGACAATACCTCCAGAAAACTGATGCCAAGATTGCATCACCCTGTATATCAAAAGCCATAGGACATAAGTTATCAAAACTATGATCGCTCAAACTCGCAATTGGAAGGCTAATCAAACCATGCTAAAAAAATTAGGGCTTTGCATTTCAAATAGGAAAAGTAGGTTATAGTTATCGTACACCCTCTATAGTTTTCGGGATAAATGTATTTAACGTGGTTTCGGGACAATTCGTTGTGAAAACAATAAAAAATTGAAGTTTCTAAAACAACTGTAAGTTGAAAAAAACTTGTAATTCACGATCTACATAAATCACCCTGTACATCCTACTAAAGGTTTCAAATCGGAATTTTGTATTAAGATATTAATATCTGACATGTTAGTCGATTAAAACATGGAAAAATGCGAGAACGTTTTTCCGTGTTTTAATCCGTTGTCGCCTCGCGTGAGAACGTCGTATATGAGGCGACAACGTTTCTACAGTTTCTACTTGAAGAACTATGATGGGCAAGTTAACAAAGGAAAAATTTTAAAGCGCTGTTTTTATTCTAATGAGCAGCTGAATTAATAATACCCACAACGGTTGCCTGGTTACCACTCGGAATTCCAAATAGAACATTAAAACGACCCATTTTGCCCACTATGGGCAACCCAGGAGTCCAAAAGTCCAAACTGCGTAGGTGCCCTTAGAAATAAGTGAAAGAGCACCACTAACTGCACGTGCAGTAGCAATTTAGTCCTACTGAGCAAATCTGCAGGCAGTCCAAATAAAGCACAAAAAAGGAAGAACTAACTCGATGAAATTATAACAATAATATGTCGATTAAGTCTAAAATTTTATGAGCTTACGTGCAGGCGAGCTTCGAAGAGTGTATTTTTGGCATAACTCCACGAGACCATTTCTTTATGCGCTAAAACGTCGTCAATAGTTGTCATTGGAACTTCGATTTTTGGAAATGTTAGATAGGCTACGAGATTCCCACAGTAGGTAGTCCCAATTACAAGAACAACCAGCCACCAAGATCCTACAATAATTCGGGCACTGTCGGCATATGGCAAATGCATGCCACCTAACAAAGTGGAATAAGTCAAATTTATTCAGTGAAAACGCTAAAATATTCTTGATCGACGAATCGGGAGCAGTTACCTTGTTGAAGTAAAGCTCCGTACATGTACCAAATACAATTCTGGATCGTCGCTAGTCCACCTTTGCATCGGACCCCTTTATATTCGTACACGGGGCTTAATTTGTGAATGTAAAAAAGGACTGGACCCATGGAAATTATGGTGGCCGAAAGGCAAAGCCATGTCTAAAAGATACATTTTAAAGTTGATTATTCAGCCTGACGGTGACGGAAGTATGTCATTACATCTCCCCTGAATGGTGAAATAAATAGTAATGCCCGGCTTAGTTCGCGCGGTCTTGCAGCTAGAAATGTGTAGGCTTGAATACTAATGGGATCGGTGAAATTGATTACTCTTTGGTTTTCTTCTGTCACCGTAAATGCACAGGCTCCCAAGGCGGCAGATTTATTGTGGACCATTTCCAAAATGGAATGTGGCACCCTGTAAGAAAAGAAAATATTGTTGACAGTTCTCGGAAAAAAGTCAATTAGGATGACCAATCATATTTGTCGCTCTTTGAATATGACATTACACATACCGGGTGTCAATTTGAAAACTTCCCGCCCTTAATATCTTAGTGTTAATATAATTGAACGTCCTTTACAACGATGATATGCCACTTGACCCCCCTCTCCATTTAAGAGTCAAATGGTGACATCTATTAGTAAGTAAGGGAGTAAATTAACCGAATACCTACGAGAGGCTGTGAGTCCATTCTGCGAATAATGCACAATAACGTGTTTACACAGGCACAAACATGTTTGTAGTTAAACGGGCAGAATACCTCTAAAGATTTGACAAATTAATTGTAATTCAGTTAATTGACATTGACGGTTGATAATATCAAGTTATATATTATATAACTTTTCACAGTCGGTTTTTGTTATGGCTTATTTAGGAATATCACTCATTTTTCCCAAAAATTATGGCAGCACTACCAGTAAAGTGAATTTTAATTTTTATTTTTTATTGTTTTTTTTTTATTTTATTGATGTTATTTAAAATTTATTGCAGTCATTGCCTCTCTGCTTTATTGTCAGAATTTTTTCATGGGCATCCCGGTTTTTGATAATTTAAAAGCAACAGATATTTACGAAATGTTAATGAGACAGATTACCTTGAGAAACATCGTTGCCGTCCTGCCGATCTAATGTTTTGCAAATGTCTCGGATATTTTTTAGTTTATCTGGATTCTTCCTGTACTCTCAAAATACTTCCAGGCAACACCCGCAGAGGAATGACGGCAACCCTGTTTATGTACAAGGTGATTCAAAATTGGCGGTATTTATTTTAAGGGGTTATAGGGGCTCACTTGAAGAGGTCGAGGAAAATATTGATCAACATTGGAACATAACATATTGGAATACTTAACTATTAGCAAAAAAAAATTAACGATCTTTATATCGAATTAAGAAAATTTTTCATATTAAAATTGTACTCTTAAAATTTTTTGATGAAAAGTTGCAAAGACGTTTTTCGCCATTAGTTGATATTTAAAGGTGGATAGCGTTTGTCAATCATGATAGGTATTTCTCAAATTGTGACTTCGTTTGATTCTTTTAACACAAAATCTACACTAACATCGAATTTGCGGATATTCGACTGGTTTTGGGTAAATGAGACACTAACGTAGCAGAAGCTGTAAGAACTTACACCAGCAAAAGGTTTGAGAAATTGCCAAAGGAGAAATTGACAAAAAAACAGTGCTTGAAGAGGATTGGCTCCAGAAATTCACACAGATAGTGGACGATCTGAAAGTGGGTTCCAGACCTAGAGGAACAGGTATTGGAGATAATTGCAGCGGATCTTTCTAGGAGTACTCAAAGCATTGCACAACAACTAACACTTTCTTGAGCACCAAATAAACAGCAAAGAAGGGCTACAGTTCTACCGTGTATACTAGATACACAAGACACATTCAATTTCTGAACTACCGAACACCGGTTCAAATTCAGCAGGAGATAATTAACCGAATACGAGAAGCTGTTAAATATCTGAGCCTCAAAGAATGCACAACATAGTGATCGGAGAAAAAAGATGTTTGTAGTTAATCGGGAAGGACTTTGCACACCTCTCGTGATTTAACAACAGAATTGTATGTTATTTGATTAATATTGATTAAATGATTCATAATGATAATTATATTGTGTGTATATTATATTTATGTTAATTGATTAATATTGATTAAATGATCAATAATGATAATTACATTTTGTTGTATTTACCCATGGATTGTACAAGCTTTTATAATTAAAAAGCAACAGGTATTTACGTCATATTAATGAGGCAGATTACTCTAGTGGGCGCGCCTTTTAAAATCTCATAAACAGGCGCGCCGCGGCTATTGCACCGCAGCTTGGCTTGGAGGCCAGCCGTTCTCAACCCGAGGAAAAGGAGGTCGCAGGGGAGGAGATCGAAGGAGATTCCACTTCCTCCTCCAGTGAGAGTGAGGCGGCAGAAGTCCCGCTGAGGCGGCAGCACCTTCAGCAGCCTCCAAGGGGGGTCAGGGCCCGGCAACGGACTCTTCCGACGGAGAGAGCTTTACAAGCCCAAATCGCCGGTGTAAGAGGAAGAGAACCAGGCCCACGACCTCCAGTGAAGAGGACGAATCTAATCGGAGAAATTTGTGCACAGGCACAAAAAGAGACCCACGGAAAGCCGCCGTGCCGAGGGAGCCAGCAGTCCAGCCCAGCAGCCCAGCCCAGCAGAGTGTGGAGAAAAAGCAGGCTACCCCTGCCGCCCAGCAGCTGGATGTCGAGGCGCAGAAAAAGCAGGCCACCCCTGCCGCCGAGCAGCAACCTGAGAAACGGAGGACAAAAATCCCACCGATTGTCTTCCGTCAAAAAGAGCGTTACGACGAAATCAGAAAAATTCTGGCTGACAAACGCATAAACTACGGCTGTGGCGTGACAACCAAGGAGGGTGTCAGAACGTACCCTTCCACAGTTGAAAACTTCCGCGCCATGATCCGGGTACTGGACCAACGCAAGTTCCAGTACCACACGTACCAATTGGAAGATGAGAAACAACTCCGAGTCGTGATCAGAGGAGTTGTGGAATCATGGTCGGAAGGAAAAATCAGGGAGGAACTCTGCCAACAAGGCTTCCACCCAACCACGATCGTCAGGTGGCGAAAGAATGGCCAACCAATCGCAGTGGTGCTGGTGCTACTGCCTAAAACTGAAAAGGCCATCTTTGAGGTCAGAAGCCTTGGGAATCTGCAAGTCCGCGTGGAGTCCCAACACACCAAAAGCCAGACGACGCAGTGCTTCATCTGCCAGCTATTTGGACACGGCCAGTCCAAATGCACTGCTGCAGCCAAGTGCGTCAAGTGTGCAGAAGCGCACGAAACTAGGGAATGTCAAATCCCTAGGGAAAAGGCTGCGAAATGCGCCAATTGTGGAGTTGCCCATCCAGCCTCCTACTCAGGATGTCCTGCAAAGCCTGCGCAAAAGAAGCCAGCAGCCGTCAGCTACAGCGCAGCAGCAAAAAGGAACCTGCCGCCCCAGCAAGCCCCCGTCCAACGTCAACAAGGAAGGAAAACAGGCCATGAACAGCTGGCCCAAACCATCCAAGCCATGCAAGCCCAAATGCAGAAATTCATGGCCACGATGCAATCCCAGATGATTGCACTAATGAGCAGTCATGTCTAGACTGCTCAGGCCTAAATCTCTGCGTGTCGTCTCCTGGAACGCCAATGGAGTCAGAAGGAAAAAAGCTGAACTCCAGGACTTCCTGGAGAAATACAACGTGGATGTGTGCCTAATCCAGGAAACACTACTGAAGCCTGGAGAAAGAGATACACAGAGATGACAGGCTCACCAGGGGCGGAGGCACGCTAGTCGCAGTGTAAAGGTCCATTAAGCATCACGAGATCGTCAAGCTCGTGTGAATTGATTCGTCAAATGGAAAAGATGGAGATCAGAGTCGGGCCCGTATACGTCAGTCCAAGCGCTACGTTGTGTCCCGAGGATGTTCGAGATCTTTTCCCGGATGACTGGCCCACAATACATGGCGGGGACTTCAATGCCAAAAGCTCAGATTGGGGATGCAACTACACCACAGCCAGAGGCCGCATGCTATCAAACGAAGCAAGAACCAACATGTTTAAGATAGCCGCACCCCAAGAGCCAACCCACATGGCTCAAAATGGCAGAGATGACATACTGGACATATTCCTGTATAAAAACGCAGGAAGACTGTCCAGCC